CATCCCATCATTTGAGGCTGTGAGAAAGAAAAGGAATTAATCTGAAAATTTTTAAAAGCAGTAATGGTAAAAATGTAAAGAAGCAAAAGTTCTCGAAGTTTTTATCATACTTTGTAATTACTGTATGAGGATAAATTTGTAACATGTTTTATAGGTTAAATTTATTTCTATTAAAGCCAGTGGTTATGGTTTAGATATACAAAGTCCCTCAAAAGTTTCCTGTGTTCAGAATTAGGGCTCTTGAAAGGGGTTAGACTTTTAGGCGCATTATACTTATGGGTGGATGAATTCATTAATGCGGCTGTTGCTGACTGTGCTGTTAGGTTGTGCCCAGTGAGTGGAGGTGGATCACTGTGGTGTCTACAGAGGATACATCTGTCTATTTGGCAAATTTGCTCTCTCTTTCTCAGTGACTCCCTGACTGCTCAGAGTTGAGCTGCTTCCTTCTGCAGCTTCCTTGGAATTAGCCAACGATGGACTGAAACCTCTTAAATGGTTCGCTAACATAAACTTTTGTCCCTTAATTACTAACATGGATGGTCTCAATAGACTAATAAAAAGAAACACAGGCAAGGTGGATCAGGAGACAGGGTCCATTAAGATGCTCTATGTAAGAAATACAATTAACCTGAAAGTGGTTTTATGGACTGAAAGTTAAATATGAGAAAATAATGTTCTATGTGACAGGGAACAAGAAAAAAGTGAGGGTAGCTTGCCCATCAGCTGCTGATTGGCTGGAAACACGTAACACTTTTATAAAATGGAGAACTATTCAGCTATCAGGAAGAAAACCTTGAGGCTTTGGTAGGCAAATGGATACAACTTGAGATCATTCTCAGGGGTAAGAAGGTTCAGAGTCACTTAGGTAAATAGCGGGGTGATGCCCTAATCTAAAAACTAAAGGAGTTAGTGGGATACAAAATGTACAATACATACTATGAAAGGAGAGGAATTGTCTAAAAAGGAAAGGCAGAGAACATTATTAATCTTGTATCATGAGTTGGAACCCATGTTGTTTTCATCACCAGTTTAGTTTGGTTATATTCTGTTCCAGTTTGTCTACTTGTACTAGATTTGATGGCATGGACAGCTATTCCAAAGATAGCAAGATATACTATGATAACCATTTTTAATTTCCTCTAACTTAATTTGAAGCCCTGTATTGCTTTCATTGTCTTGTTTTGACTGATTTTATTTGAATCTGTTCTGTTTGATAGTATCAAGTCTGAGGGTATAGGCAACTACTTTGAAGACAGTAAGATTCACTATGATACCCATTCTGGTTTGACTATTATTTTCTTTTGAAGTCCAATAATGTCCCCTATGTTTTCTTTCTATTGATTCTGCTCCGTACTGTTATGTTCAATTATATTATGCCTGACGATATGGGCAATTCTATTGAAGACAACAAGAGACATTATGGTAACCATTGTTGATCACCTTGTATTTTAGTTTTAAGTCATGTACTATGTCCATCCTTTTGTTTTGACTGACCCCATTTGTTTATTCTCATTTGATTTTATTCTCTTCAAAATAAAAATAAATAAATAAATAAATAAGTTGTATATATCACATACTTTGTCCCAACAATAAAAAAGTGGCCGATACACTAGGTTTGGGATTTACAGATAAAATCAGAGGAAAATCAATGGTAAAAAGGCACTAATTTAACAAAAAATAAATTGTGTTATAGGAACCATTTATTGTAAACGAAATTCATTGTTAATAAAAAGAAGTATTAGCTCGTAAATATCAACTCGAAGTACTGCTGAAAGACAAAAGTAAAACCCATACACATTCTATGCTCACTTTGAAGATATTTAGCATAAATGTTTTCCTAAAATAAAACTAATGTTAGAGAAAAGAAATGCCCCATATTATTCTGAAACTTTAGATTACTGAAAGAGGGAATCAGCCTAAGAAATATATTTTCATGTTTAAATCACGTTTTATTCATTAATAGTCTGGAGAAAATGAGAGGTAGAGGAGACAATATAATCTAATACAAGTACTGAAAAAGGCAAGCAATAGAGACTATGAAAACATTACAATAGTTTTCAAAAGGCAGTAATCTGTGAGGACACAAATAAATAGCAGAAACAGATGAGTAATAAGAAGAAATTAATACTAAAGTCTACCAACAAAAAAAGTCCAAGACCAAATATTTTCATTGTTGAATTTTACCAAGCTCTTAAAGAACTAAGGTCAAATATATTCCTAAGAATTAAAGGGGTGGGAATCTTTTCAAATGTCCTTTGAGGTTAGCACTACTTTAATAATAAAGCAGAGAAAGAACAATAAAAGAAAACTAGCCTAGATAAACATATATAGAAAATTACTGAAAATTAGCAAATGGAATCCAACAATGCATAATCCCAAAGACAAAAGAATGATTTCACATATGCAAATCAATAAATGTAATACTAATAAATATCCTGCATAATGCATGCAAAGTGTGGCAAACTCATCACCAAAATCATACTGAATGAGTAAAGTGGAAAACACTTCCTCTAAGGTCTGAAACAAAACAAGGAAGTTTGTGTCCATTTTTCCTGCTCTTATTCAATATGTTAATGAATGTTTTAGGCAGAACAATTAGGCAGGGAAAAGAAATTAAAGGCTTTCAATAGGAAAGGAGGAAAGCCAACTAAATCGTTTTACAGATAAAATTTCATAGAAAATCTTAAAGTTCCCATGCGAAGACTCTGACAAATGAATTCAGTAAAGTTGAAATATAAAATATCAACATTCAAATAGCAGTACTATTTTTAAACACAGATAATGAACTTGTTGTGAGTGAAATTATGAAAATAATCTCAAAATAATTTTGAGATAACCCAATATCTTGGAACAAACTGAACAAAGGGAATGAAAGACACCTACGAAATATTAGCTCAGACTGCTACAGTGAAAATTACAAAACACTGACAACAAAAGACACTAAAAAGATGAAATAGCCTTCAATATTCATCTTTGGAAAATGTAATATTGTTATAATATCTACAGTAAATAAAGTAAGTTGAAAATGTAATTCAATCATCATCAAAATAGCAATGAAATTCTTCATAAAACTAGAAAAAAAATCATATTCATATGGAAGTAGAGAAGATATCAAATAAAGCAATCTGAACAAAAGAAATATAAATCTGGAGGTGTCACATTACCTGATTTCAGGACATACTACAGAGTCATAATATCCAAAACAGTATGTGATTAGCATAAAAACTGACACTCAGATCAATGGAGCAGAAAAGGGATACCAGAAATAAAACCATACACTTGGCATTGGCAATAAAGGCACCAAAACAAAACAAACCAAAAAAAAAAAAAAAAAAAAAAAGAAAAAAGAAATTCAAAAAAGGACAAGCTCTTTAATAAATTGTGTTGGAAAAGTTTGATATATACATGCAGAAGACTTGACATTTGACTTCTATCTCTCACTCTGTGCAAAAATAACCCCAAAATGCAATTGGCCAATACATGAAAAATGTTTAGGGTCATAGCTAACAGGGACATTTAAGTCAAGACCACAATAGGGTAGCATTTCATCCCTGTTAGAATGGCTAAAATCAAAATGACAATATATAACACATGCTGTGAGGATGTGGGAAAAAATAATACACACTGTGGGTGGGAATGTAAATTAATATAGCCATAAAGGAAATTTCTCACAAAACTAAATCAACCTACTACATGAACCTGCTGTCTCCTTTCTGCTTATAAAACTAAGAGAAATGAAACCAATATTCTAAAGAAATAGCTGCCCTCAAGGTTTACTACATCACTATTCACAATCGCAAAGATAGGAAATCAATGTATTTACTCAGACATAGTAATACATAAAGAAAATAGAATACAATGCAACATGTTATTCAGGCATAAGGAAATACAAAATTATGTAGGAAATAGATGTTTTGAACTGGAGAGTACTATCTTAAGTGAAATAAGACAGAAAAAAAGTCACAAGCTTTCTCTTGCATTTAGAATCTGTAAAAGCCAGGTTAAACAAAGAATAGTGGAGTTCAAAAGGAGAAATGGGAGGGAGGATATAGTGAGGTTGGATAACAGACACCAAATACAGTTAGACTGAAGGGCTAAGTTCTAGGGTTGCACAGCACAGTGGAATGATTATACTTGAGAAGAGCCTCTTCTATATTAATATTTAGAAGAGAACAGCTCCAAATTTCCAAACAAAATGAATAAGGAGAGGGGAATGCCAGTTATTCTGATCTGATCTGGGCATATTGTGTCTGTTTATTGACTATCATACTGCAACATATATTTAATTATATGTTAACTGAAATATAAAATTTAAATACTAAATTAAATTTTTAAAAAATCTTTCAGGTTTCACAGCTGTTAAGGTTTTCAATATGCCTATTTATACTGGTGTTGTCCTTCACACAGATTCTGTTTCTTTAAAATCTTCTTTCTAAATCAGAAAAGTCTTACAATGCAAAGAAATATAATATAATGATTCCTAAATTAATTTCATTGATTTTACATTCTTGGTTTTGCAAAGTTTTTAGCTAAAAGTGGACTTTTGACATCTCATCTCCACATACTAAATTCACATTCAGGTGACCCTTAAACTTTCTTGTAAGAGTCTGCAATATGTGTACAGAAGACAGGTAAATAAGAGATCTCTAAGTAAGTTGCTTTTCACATTTTTATTGTGACATTTATGTGGTTAAAGGTTATATTTTTGGAGTATTTTGATATATTTAGGAAAACACAGTGTAGAATTTTAGAGATGAAAAGAATATCAGCTGCAAAAAGGAGAGGGGGTAAGGGCAATGAAAATAATCGCAACATGGTGTATACATGTCGTGATTTATCAAAACGAATCTCCTAATTCTGTATTATAATTATACACTAATTAAGAAAAGAACAAGAAAGTACTTTACAACATTTCTCAGTATCTTCAGCACTTGCTATCTCCACCTTACTTACGTAACATAAATAAGGAGGAGATATTTTAAGTCAAGGATTAAACTTACTCTTTTTCCAGGAGGACCTGGTGGGCCAGCCTCACCAGATGGACCAGGAGGACCCTATAAAATGTGAGGAAAATCTTTTAAGAAATTGGATGTCACTGTATGTACCACAAAATTCCTCAGTATCTGAACTGAGACTTCTTTCCTCATTTACACACATTTATCTTTCTTGATAAAATTCAGACACCTAAACTTCCTCCTCACTACATTGAGCTGTAATTCGTATGTTAAATTTTTTCACAGCTGAATAGTAACTGATATTTCTACTATGTAAAACTCTGTCCTTTTAAAAATTGCTAATTTGTTCCGGGAAACATCCACTATCTACACTAATTAAGAGAACCAAACAATTAATAACTTTTCCAATTCATATAAATTTGTGAAACTATAAAACTATTACCTTTAAATCCCTTCTTGTAATTACTGTAATTATTCTGCCACACTGTACACAAAATTCTAGGGTATGATCTCTAAGTATTATTTGCAGAAATTAAACCTACATCTCTGAGAGCAAATATTCAGCGCATACAGGTCTAAACATAGAATTGTGTTGTATATGTAGTTGTCTGGGCAGGTTAGCTTCTCCCTTATTACTTTCTTGAACAACCCATCGTCAAAGAATCAACTGAAGGAAAAGAAAGGTTTATACTATACTGTGCTATGTTCTTCCAGGTTCATAGCTTAAACAATTTACTAATGAAAAACAACCAAATCAATTTACTTTCTTTCCCTTTTGTGTGTATTTTAAAAATAATTTTCTATGTGACACAAATGACATTGTATGTTAATATTATTAGTAGGATGTAGCTACAATTTTTCATTAGGAAGACTTGGATTATACACTATTTCTGAATTCACATCAAGAAATACTCCAGGTATATTGACTTGAGATTGGAATTCAAATGTATTTTTTAAGGAAAATGTTGACAAACTCAGCTGTGCTTTTGAAAGGTTGATTTGCAATTATTTCTATTAAAGTAACTTGAAATCACTGAAAATTAAAAACAATCACTGTGCTTGCTTACCGGTTGTCCAGGATCTCCGTCTTCACCCTTGTCACCACTGACACCATCCTGACCCTATAATCAGCAATAGAAAATGAACTTAGATATTTCTCCATTTCATTTTTATCAGGGTAAAAAAAAGCTTCAATAGACAATTCTAGTGTGTTGAGATAAACTTACCAGATCAAGGAATAAAATTAGTATGCTATTTTTAAAGAATTGTGGTGCTTTTCACTCTTTCCATAAAGATTTGTGACACTGCTACTAAATCAAATTGAAAACCTACTGTGTATTTTACATGAGTGAAGGGAAAATCAGTAATTAGCATGCAAGGCCAGTGCATCCTTACACCATGAATAAATACAGTGTGGTTTGAGATAGTATGTGTATTGTATAAATGACAAAAAGAAAAGTAAGAATCCTGTAACTTTAAAATAGTAATGCTCCCTTTAATAATTTGTACAACTTGAAGTATGGAAAACTAATCCAAATGAAGAACATGTTCATGCAATAAGAACTAATAGTTTCCAACTACATATATTTTTTGGTGTGATTATTATTATCTGTTTTTATTCTGTTTCCTTTTGGTGTGATTATTATTATCTGTTTTTGTTCTGTTTCTTGGAGGTTTTTCTTTTTTTTTTTTTTTTTGTACTCGGAATTGAACCCAGGACCTTGCACTTGTCAGGCAAGCTTTTCTGCAACTGAACTATATATCCTTGGCCCTTGAAGAATTTTCTTTACTCATTATAAATATTGCCCCCACCAAACCATTCCTTTATTTTTCTGTAATACCTACCGCAGGGCCAGGTTCCCCAGGAGGACCAGGATCTCCAGGAAAACCAACAGGACCCTGAAATGATGTTTTAAAAGGAAAATAAAAATAAATTTTTATAATGTTATAATATTTTGAAATTTAAGTTAAGGCAAAGGCTGGTAAGAATACTTTTCTGCAAGATAATTTCTTAAAAATAAAATAAATTAAAATGCTTTTGAATATACAAAATGTTGAAAATTCAGCTGCACTAATTATGCTCTAGAATATCAAGATTTCTACCTTCCTATGAAAAGGTCTAAAATGAATTTTGCCAAAGTCACTTACCGGGTTACCCTTGGGGCCATCGTCACCCGGTGGCCCCTTTGCACCAGGAGGTCCAGCAGCACCTGGTGAACCAGCTTCTCCTTTCTCTCCTCTTTCTCCTTTGGGACCCTATAAGAGGAAAAACAAGGTTACTTACTAGCATTAAATTTTAACCTTAGCACACTGGACCACACAATTTGTTGCTGTGACTGTCTTGTGCATTGTGAAACACCTAACCTAACATTGTAAAACACCTAATATCAAAAAACAACTGCCTTTAAAACCTGCCAGCACTTCTCCATCTTTAATCATCTAGAATATCATTAGACATTGCCAAATGTTTCCTGGGCCAGGGTTAGTGGGGAAACATAAGTTCATATCTGATTTAAACATTTCTGTGATAGACAATTGCAAATCTAGCACAATTCATAAATACTTATTAGATGCAGCAAAGGTTGTTTCTTTATGCAAAATTTATCAAAGTCAGTGAAGAGCTTATAGTTTTAATGGTTTCAATTATGCAAACATATTTTTTTTTGTCTTTTTCATTTTTATCTGTACCGGGGATCGAACTCATGACCGCCTGCTTGCAAGGCAGGTGCTTATGCCGCTAAGCTAAATCCCCAGCCCCTCAAACATATTTTTTAAAAACTGTGTGTGAATCTAAATATGTAAAGGTATGGAATGTTATTACTTTAGTGGGTTGGAGAGTGAGAGTGACAAAGCAGATCATAGCTAGGAATTCAGTTATATGTTTAAAATGCTTTAAAAGAAACTACTAAAACTACATCCTATATGGACAATAAGACAGCACTTACACCTGTGCCTGCTTCACCAGGGGGCCCAGGGTTCCCTGCTTCTCCAGGTTCACCCTAAAAAGAATAAAAAATCAAATGAGGGTTAAAACACAGAAGTGTTTTGCATTTGTAGAAATACCTTCAGTTATGACCACAGAATTTTAGGCTGCCCATAAATTATTATTTTTTTTTACAAGGCATCAAAACAACATTAAAGGAAAGGAGCCTTTTGTATTACTGATTTTATATTTGTAATAATTAGGTGGGAAGTGAGAATCAGATACACTACATGCTGCAGTGCTCCTAAGTAGCAGCCAACACACTAATGCAGGTTACCACCAAACCACTGTAATAGACAACTGCATGTTTCCTGACAAAATATGGAATATTCATATTATAACATTAATATTCACATTAAAAACAAGTTTATTGATTAAATATTTAAATTATTTTACTGAAATATGAATCCATCTGCTCTTTAAAGTATCAGGAAATAAATATGTTGATAATATTATAGAACACGTCTAGCAGAGAGCTAAAGAACTTAAAGCAAAAGATTGTAATTTTGAAATATGAAAGGCATTGAGATACTAATAATTTCTCCATTTTTGTGCATACATGTTATACTTGATAGTATTGATGATTTCTTTCTTAAAGGGTGATGATTATTCTTTAACAAACTAATCTAGACTAGAAGCTTTTAGTTATTAAAGTCTAGCCAATTTTTCATACTTAGAAATGTATAACATTATAACAATATATTCAAGAGACCATTAAAATGAATATAATACCTGACGATACTGTATTTAAATTACTTATAAAGAAACAAATCATTCAGCTATCTTAGGATGATAGAATGATATATAAGTAGTGTTTCTTGAACTGTGATTTATATTTTTGAAACTGAACAAGTAATTTGTCATTCAAATCAACTCTAACATGTCCATTTTACATATTTTATAGATAGACCACATACAATCTTTAGTATACTGGGGATTTGAGAATGTTAAAATATTTTTTTATGTACCACATTAACCAGGGTAATACTGCATGAAATTGAAACTAGAGAAAAAAGAACTACATTGTTTTTGCTGAGGCTTTATGCGATTTTCTCGTCCTTCTTAACCCTTATCAACTATCAACTTAAACTAACACAGATTCTGAACATTTTTTTTTATTTTTTAAATGGGGAAACATTTAAAGAATGTTTTTACTACAAAATCTCTATTTAAGAACAATCTATTAAACTGTCCAAAGATACATGGTAAAAATATCTTTATATTGCAATGAAGTCTGAGCAATATAAATAGTAATTATTGAAAAAAGTTATTATTTTCTAACTTGTGAGACAAAATTAAAAGTAAATGAAACAATGCCAGAATACATTTTATAAATTAAAACTATAATTCTAATATCAGCAGCTATTTAATTCTCATTTTATAACAGTAATTGCTAAAAAATTATATAAAATATATGAAGGAAATAGCAGATCATGAATTTATCTTTACTTATCATAGAACCATTTTATTCTACTCTATAACATGCTTTTTTCCATAAAACTTTCTTTGGAATAAAAATGAAGTTACTCTGTATACTGAGAATTATAAAAATGTATTAAACATTAAGGAACTGTCTTTTAATGTTTACTTGTTTTGAGAAAATTTTTAAAGTTAACATAATTATAGCAAATATTCATTAAGTGAAAATAAGTTAAATGTATTTACCCAAAATGAAACATGACTAAGGATATTAACTTCTTCTACTTTTTGTGTTAGTAAATGGGAGTAAATTTTCCAAAACAGAAAATAAATCTATAGGTAATAAAAAAATGAATTTTCTAAAATTTAGCTCGATTCCAAGTTGATATCAGAATTCTATAACCTACAGCAAATTATATTACCCTAGATGTTAAAAAAAGAACATTAGAATTATATTTTTATTCTGCTCTTCACTAAATAGGTAAGAAAAATGAAAACTTTGTGTTATATCATTTAACTAAGTTAAAAATGAGCATATTGAAAGGGAAAAAGTTAAATTATCAACCTAATCAAATCATCCTCATAAGACCCAAAATTGGTAAGGTATCACTCCAGAGGCTTTAAATCAAATGGAAACAATATGAGACTTCCTCAAAACAGACATCTGGCACCAGAGTGTATCTTCAAGAATTTTTCAGAATAAACAGGAAAGAAGCAAAGAAGTGCTTAAAAGTATTCCTTCTGCATTCTAAATTTTTAGGCACAATTAAGAGAAGCTGAACAGGCAACAAAAAAGAAGGCTTCTCACAGCTTTCTAGGCATTCTAGACATTTCTAGACATCATTAGAGACAAAAGAGATGAGGCGAAAAGAAGAGGAGAACGTGTAAGGGGGATACCATGTTATCATTTAACACTACGGTGGTACCCTCAGAGGCCAGTGCTGTCTCACGTTCTTCTTTCTAGGATAAATGAATTCAATGACAAACACTTTCTTCAAAACCAATCTAAATACCAGGTCAGTTTAAACACAAAACTTGCAATTAAAGAATATCAAAAAGAGTAAAATAACTTTTTGTATTAAAAATTTGGTATTTTAAAATTTTTTTTTTTTTTTTTTTTTATTTCGCTGAACATGGTGGCATACATCTGCTGTGTTCAGCACTCTGGAACACTGAAACAAACAAACAAAAAAAAGATTTCAAGTTTTAGCCCAAGCTGGGCAATTTAGGAAACTAATACTCTGTATAAAAATAAATATTAAAGGGCTGGAGACAGTGGGATGTAGCAAAGGATTTGGGTTTGTTCCTTAGTCCTACAAGAAAGAAAAAGAAAAATGAAAAAAAAAAAAAAGCCAAGAAGAAAGAAAGAAAGAAATTCAGTTTAGTAATGAAGTATTTTGATAGTTAAACATATAGATATGTTAATATAAATATAAAAATATGAGCGCTCAAAAAGTAAATGTTAAAAGAATACATTTTAATTTCATTACAGTTCATTTTGGGAGGGATTAAATTTTAAATAAAATAAATGAATTTGAATACAAGTTAAAATACACATAAAATGCTTGAGGTCAAGAAATGGAATCACTTTTAAAGTATGGGATAAATTTATACCACTAATATTTTTTAATAAATTCAGAAAACTTACTTTATCTTCACTGAATAATATTTTATGGTATGAAATTGAGTTCTTTCTTCAAAATTAGTAAATTATTTGTTAAATCAAACACTCATTTTTTTTTCAATTTCTATTAGTAAGTGAATAGAAATGGAGAAATAAGAAATAACTGATTTTGACATTTGCATAAAACAATGAGCCATGTTTGGATGAAATGTTCACCAGAAAAGTTCCTTTGAACAGAGATATGTCATAAGCCAACTATTTTGAGAAACGTCAAAGGTAAGTCAAAGATATAGTATTAGCAATGAAAGTATAACCCACTGTATGAAAAGATCAATGCTTAATTCTTTGTGAAGTCTATTTCCTGTTTATATTAGTTGTAACAAACAATCTTCCATTTTCAGTACTTTTGATATTTTACTTTCATCTCACATTGATGATTGTAGTAGATTCTGGTGTGGTCACCTTCTAACAAAAATCTTTGATGAAATTACTACGTTTTTTTTTTTTTTTTTTTTTTTAAGTTTTGGGAGGATTGAAACCCAGGGCACTCTATCACTGAACTACAGCCTCAGTCCTTCTAATGATTTATTTTTTTAAAGATAGGTCTTTCCCAAGAATTATGATTCTTCTGCCTTAGATGTTGTGTAGCTAAGATTAGGGGAATGCACCTCTTTACTGAAATTTTTAAGCTTCCACTTTTCCAGTTTACAAAAGTGGATTATGATGATATCCTATCATGCAGCTATTAAAGGAAGTAATTTATGCACATCATTCATTTCAATGTCTTGCAATCAACAGTATGATACCTTAAATATCATTTTAACTTTAATTTGCGTAACTACTAAATGAGAGGAGAGTCACATAACTAAATGAAAAAAGAACTTAGGAAATGCTAATACTACAAGCATTTAAAATATTAGAAGCATTGTCAGAAGACATTAATTAGTATTATTTCAAATTTCATATCACTAATTTCCTTACCTTTTCTCCAACACCACCAACTGAGCCAACGGATCCTGGAGGTCCTTGTGGTCCCTAAAATTCAGAAAAAGTAATACAGTTTTCTTTATTCTGGGACAAAATAGAAAATTAATGAATGTTTTCTAAAAGAGGCAGAATATATACAAGAATATTCTGAATAACTGGAGGATTGTGATAAAGTAATTACTTTTATGGTGTCATCGAATGCATTTATGAAAATAATTTATTATATCACACTAACTTTCAAACATCAGAATTTAAACATATAGGAGAAAACTTTCTAGTTTTCTTCCAGCCTTTTAATTCTTGGATAGTGACTTCAATCTCTCTGGGAGTGGAATAGTCAGGTACTTTTACAAGATGATTTTATAGTGAATCAAAATTACGACTCTAGTAAAGAATTGCATGACCAAAATGAAAAACCATACCCTTATAAAAATTGCATTTGCCTTAAATTAATTAATGACAACTAAAAATCTAAAGCTTTCTTAGGTCAACACCTTGTAGACTATTCAGTCTGGACTGCTAGAATTAGAAGCATATACATGAGAATGAAGACAGTGCACACATTTTCATCACCAAAATACAAAGTCAGAAGATCCTCAAAGCTTATAAAAACATTAATCATAACAATAAGATAAATATGACAAAATTTTTCCAAATGCTGTAATTGGGTCAATTTTCAGCCTTTGAAAATACTCTTTTTAATACAACTGAGATGAAATGTTTTTTTTTTTGTCTTTTTCGTTTTTATCGGTACCAGAGATTGAACTCACGACTGCCTGCTTGCAAGGCAGGCGCTTATACCGCTGAGCCAAATCCCCAGCCCCCTGAGATGAAACATTTTTCATGGTGAAAGTTATACTTATTCATATATTGCTCCTAAACATTTTATATTCTAAAAATACAAAAGATAGTTTGTAAGAAACAGCTTGTACATATATACATATAAAGAGTATTTAGAGAATCGATCTAACCAGCACACAACCAACTACAGACCATGTCATTGGTCATTTTGAGGGAAGAAGCTTAAGTTTCAAAGAATCTGATTGCTTATTGAAAAATTATCATATGTATGATTAATCTAGTTATCAGAACGATCTGGTTTATCAGAATATAAAACCACAAGTAATATTACTCACTCACCAATAAACATATTAGAATATGAAAAGTATGTCTATTTTACATTTGTAGTGATTTGTTTACTACAAAGTCTATTTCTTTTATAATTAAGGAGAATGAATAGATAATCCTCCAGTTTCCTCACTTACAGCATGAAAAAATGTAATTATCTCCATTATATCTTAGAAAACAAGCTATGAAATAACACCAATATTTAAATTTTAACTTTGAAGTAATTAGCATATATTTCACATCTTACATCAGCTCCACTGGGACCTTGAGGGCCTCTTGGACCAGGAGGACCAGGTGGACCCTACAAAACATAAATAATAAAGTTTACAAGGGTAAAACTTAAATGCATTTCTGGCATTTGTCTTTTTAAGAAAACTAAAACATCATTTTATTACATGCTACTTTTTCATAAAGCTATGAGGAAATTAGTACTTTAGGAAAAAAATAGCTTGACAAGACTGCTGTTTAGGATAAGGCATTCACAAAACAATTAGAAATATTTTGTAATATAATAGAAAGAGAACCTGAAGTAGGAAATAGAAATGGTACTTCAAAAGATATAGAATTAATTAATTCAGTAGAAACATAATGTGTTGTATTTACTTGTAATTTGTGTGTGTGTGTGTGTGTGTGTGTGTGTGTGTAAATTCTTCACTTCTACATTCTGGAAATGGGAGTAGCTATTTATTTGTATTCCCAAAACAAAGTTTCTTTTCCCTGGGTGAACATTACGATTATCAATTACCTCAAGTACATTTTATAAACTACTGATGGCTACAACTCCTTATCTCAAGGATTTAAATAGTCTGTACTGATTACTAGTACATTAGTAATTTTAAAAAGTTTCAATTTGTTTTGATGCCAAGCTTGAAAAGCTTTTCTAGTTTTACTTATTATCATATAGAATATATCAGTGAAATATATAAATGATTCATAGAACCAGAGGAATTACATCAAGAAAGGAATAGGCTAGTACCTGAAGCTGCTTGGAAGTATTCATCAATATTTTTTATTTTTTTAAATCGGCACCAGGAATCGAATCACGACCATGTGCTTGCAAGGCAGGCACTTATGACACTGAGCTAAATCCCCAGCCACAGTATTCATCAATTATTTGAATCAAAATACTTACACATTCTTTACAATTAAGTTTATTAAATATGAGATTTATTTCAGAGTATAATATAGGTGGTGTTCTTAAAGACAACAAAATATAATACAAAAGTGTGAAAATCCCAAAGGGAATTATAACTTTGGGACAATGGAGAAAAAAAAGCAATTAAGAAATCTGATCACTACATTTCACGATAGATTTCCATTACTTTATAATATTATCTACATATTATCATACATAGATTAATGTTTAATGAGCAAGTAAGTATATTTTAAACTTTATGTGAACTCAAAGAAGAAATGTTTAATACAAATAAATTCAACTCATAGCATTTTAGCACAATAGAATTCCTTGTTAAATTTATATTTTGTTGCCAGATAAATATTTTATTCTCTATAATAATTGCCACTTATAGAAATCCTGTGAGAATATAACATATAATTTTCTTGCTCCACTTCAAAATTCAAAGTTAAAAACTAAGAAGTATATACATACTGATGTTCACACACACTTGAATAATATATGCAAGATGATAAAAAAGTGACATGAATCAATGAATATCAGATGTGTTTATATGATGTTGAAGGAAACAAAAGAAAGAATAGACATTTGAAAAGTTAATAGACCATTTAATGATTTGCAGATGGTGACTGAATGGCACAAAAAGGTAACAGGTCAGTATGGGAAGAATCATAAGCTTAGGACTACACTGATCACGTTGGTAAATGCTAAGGTACGAGAGATGTGTCAATGCACAGTACCCATCAGCTTACCATCGGGCCAACATCTCCATTTTCTCCTTTTTCACCAGGTGGGCCTGGCAAACCCTAAAACAACAGAGCAGAAAAATAAAAGCTATTTACATATTTAAATCCATATGTTTGGTGCATTTCTAATGAAAATGTTAAATACAAACATGATTTGGAGACTTGCATTTGCTAAAATACCTTTATTGTAAGTGTTAGATACATGTAATAAAATCTTACACCCATATCCATAAGTAAAATTTATGTTTGGTACAATATTGAGTCATTTGTTTTTGTTATAATAATTAAATACATATTTGATCTTGGTATTTTACAATAACATTTATTATTCTTGTCATTGAATATTCATACTACAGAATTTCAGATGTATTAAGAAACGAAAATATAAACAATCTTTAAGATCTCTTTATCTGTTGATATTTTAGTAAAATTATTGACTCTCCGTTGCTGCTCTGCAGTGGCCAGGAATTATGTGATTATGACCACCAATAATAAATATAATTTACATTACCCTTACACATACATGTGCAAAGTAGTTGAAATATGAATTTCAAATGGCATTACCTGCTTTTTTGCAAAGATGACTTTCAAGATTTTTATTCTATTTTATCTTGCCTTGCTCTAGTTCATTTTTATTTTATTTTTTCTATTTCATTTTTAAATGCAGGTAATAACCCACAAAAATATTTTTATGATCTACTAATTCCACATAATTTTAAGTTAGAAGGTCATTTTATTGAATATATTTACAATGCTTTAATTGTACAGTATAGTTGTTTTCATGAGAAAACTTTAATTGCTGCTTCATAATGGACAGTATACACCAGAATATTTTTTTCATTTTTCTCAAATACCAGTAAGATGTTTAAGGAGAAAGATGACTATTTGCACTTTTCAATCTGTTTTCATCCTCTCAGAGTCACTTCTAGAAATGCAGATGAAGCTTTTAGAAAGAACTACCCAAAAAATGTTTTCTACATCTTAGTCTGCCCAAATATTACTAGAAAGTGAATACTGAAGCTTTTGTTTCCTCGGTCCTCAACCTCAGTCTCTGTTTCATTTATGAAGCATAGGAATTAAATACTTAAATATAAAAGAGGAGTTTATATTATATCACAGATTTCAAAAATATTTCATTTTAAGATAATTTACTTAAATTAGAGGCATTGCAAATGAATTATAAAACTTGGCCAAATATCATATACCATAACTGTCACTTTTTTTTTTACTTTAATTTTCAACATATGTTAGTACACAGCGAGTTTGATTTAGAACCCCCATTTGAAAGATAGGTTAATGTTGGTTTATAGGTTTTTGTTTTGTCTTGTATAGGCATTGTTGTGTGTATGTGTGTGTGTGTGTGTGTGTGTGTGTGTGTGTGCGTGTGTGTGTGTGTATTTTACTTCTACCAGTTTAACAGGAAATTGCTAACAAAACTTTTAAAAATTTATTTTGATCATAGTTTGAGTTTATAAAAATGGAATGTACTTATTGTAAAAAGTAATAGAGACATAATGAATCAAAATCTCTTGGGATAGGTAAATAAGTGTGCTTAACAGTAGTCCACTGTTAATCAATTTTAACATGTCCTAAATTTTTACTAGGAAATGATTAATACATGGAGAAATCTTATTATAGGATCAGTGAACTTAAAATCATTTTCTACTCTATTGATAACATCGAAAGATGAACTTAGGTCAGGAACTCTCATACACATCCACCTTCATATGCAGATAAATAGTAAACACGCTGAATACAAAGTCATTTAATACAAATATTGGGTCAATATTATTTAATATATGTAACTGCTAGTATCTGTCATGAGGACTCAGTTGAAAGTTACAGGTCTCACTTGTGAACAGGTTAATTGCATTAGCACCTTTGCAGATTTCCTAATTTAAAGTGGTAGTTCTGGAAAATAGAATTAATTTTTAAATGACTTGATTTCTTGAGACAGTCTTATCAAAGAATAGATTTCTTTGTGAAAATAAATTTTATTGACTCTTTTGTACCTATATAAAGCATCTTATTTTAACTATAAATACTAAGATCCTAAGTTATAATTTCAACGTGCTTATAATGATTAAGTAAATAAGAAACCACAAAATTGTATAATGCCATATTTATGTTATCTAATTTCAGTGCCTTATAGTTTTCAAATGTACTTCTCATTTAGATAGTTAAGTATTACTCACGACTGCTTATTTATAATTATTTAATAACTATAAAGGGGTAAACATAACAAATATGCACATAAGGACTTTTTCCACTGTCTAAGTATAAAAAATATTTCGACAGGGCCAGGGGTTTAGCTCAGCAGCATAAGTGCCTGCCTGGCAAGCACCAGGTCATGAGTTCTATCCACAATTACAATATAATTTATTATATTGCATTTAAAATTAACTACTATAGATACATTATACTTGATATCAAAACCCAATATTTTCTAATTTTATCTATGAAAATAAAGACAATTATAACAATTTCATATTTATATACTTTTTACATCTTCACAAACGCTCAGGCACATTGAACTAGATAATTTACCTCTCTAAAGTCCCTAATGTGGCATAAATAATATCTGTATGATACCTAAATGGTATTTAACAAAGCTTTATAATGTTTCAAACGATCATTATGTGTATATAGAATAATCACGTGTAGAGTAAAAAATCAGCAGAAGAAAGCACTTTGTTTCCAGATTTGTAGGACTCAGCAAGTATCAAGTAATATGTGGAACAGAGCAGGAATGCTATGCAGTATTTTGCCTAAGTCCCATTATAAGATGTAACTGAATAAAAATGTCTCAGCTTGCAGTATTTTATACTTTCCTATTTTGTTTCATAAAAATGCTTTACAAAGTACAAATTATAATTTTGAAATAAGTTACCTTACCTAATCTTCTACTAGTAAACTTTTAATTTCCCTGTTGTTAATTATTTGCTGTTGTCAATTGCTATTAGCAGTTTTTTACTTCTCCAAATGCTTTTAAAGTTTGACAGTCCTCTGAAGTACTAATATTTCCTGCTCTGAGACATACTAAACAACTATTCTGATATGATAACTTTAGTTATTGATCTGTAATACTGTAGTTCATTTTCTAAACAAAATGGGAATGAAGAAAGGACATGTAATACTTAAAGTGGTGATAAATATAACCTAAATGCAGGAACCAGCCTGACATCTTCAGAAAAATTCGTAATAGGTGATTTAAAATATTGAAGTGCAGATATACATGTAAATAAAATATGCATTATGATTAAAAATTGTTTCAAAGTTCTTATATAGAAAAGCAAAATGATTTATTTTACCTCCACCAATAAAACTTAAGATGAGAGAGAAACAACAGCATAAACAGTACAGAGAATACATTACCTGAAGACCTATAGGACCAGGGGGTCCAGGGAAACCTCTTGCACCCTCGTCGCCTTTTTGTCCAAACATGCCCTGCTGTCCTCTGGGACCTGGCTCACCATCGCCCCCCTACAGAAGAGTAGGGGATATTATCACACATTGCAAAACCATCACAACATACTACTGAAGTGTGTTGCCCTTTCTAATTCCCTAAAAGCTAATTTACTTGGGAATAATCAAACAAAATGTAGATTAAAATCTCTATTTTCGGGGCTGGGGATTTAGCTCAGCGGCATAAGAACCTGCCTTGCAAGCAGGCGGCCCAGAGGTCAATCCCCAGTACTGATTTAAAAAAAAAAAAAAAAAAAAAAAAAAAATCTTCATTTTCGCTGCCTATATGCCACTCCTTGTTTTGCTAACATTCTTTGTTTCCAGAGTATGGCTGAATCTGATGTGATCAAGAATACCAAACGAGGTAAAAATCAATGGGAAAAATAATGCTCAAAATTTACTGCGCACTGAGTACTTACAACTAATTATCCTCTATTTTCAAACCAAATCCCATTGTTTTTACTTATCAGGATCAGTTAGTTTAGCTGCAATAATTTAAATGAAATTCAACATCAAGCATAGGAGCAAAAGGTACTGCCACTCAAATGCCACTGGTTATGTGACAAACCATAAACACAGTCAGGAGGATTTAGATCTGGTGAACAAAATAGACTACTTACAGCAATTCCAGGGGCACCAACTGGTCCTTGCAGACCAGGGGGACCAGGAGGACCCTACAGGGAGGTAAAGATCAGTAATTTTGAAACAATACAGGCAAATCTCAACTATATACACAAAAACCTTTGCCTGATTATAAACTTATTTCAGAGTCATTTTCATTTAAGGAGGTCAACTGTAATTTATTTTATAATTGGAGACTCAAATATTCATAATTGAAGTCAATTTTAGGATGATATTAAAAAACACTAGCATTTTCAATGTTGTAAAGGTCTTAAAATGGAATTGTATGCTTATCTTTTAAGATTCACATCTTAAAAATTTTAAAACATGAGATTTCTTTCATGAGACAGGTATGAGTTACATACATATTTTTGGAATACTTTTTATGAACATTGGGATTCTAAGGATTTCATATGGATAAAGTGTGAGATATATGGCATTTTTAAATGTTTACAGGCACACACATGCCAATTTAGTATTGTATTAAACATAAACAAATGTTTATTTTGAACAAATATCTCAAGGGTCATTATGAGTCTTGCGTACACAGTTTTCTCTTACTTAACTCAGGCTGTTATAAAAGATTCAGACACTAAAGAAACAAAAAAAATCATTGAATACTAATGTTCTTTATTACAATACTGACTTTGGAGGAACACTTTTTCAAGCAACGATTGTGAAAATGTTGTTCAAGGATTCCTGAAAACCTTTCACATTTCTGTCAGCTCAAAGATGTTCTTATAAAAAAACAAAGGGAGCATTTGTCTTTTAAACTCCATAAAGCCATTTGTAATTATTATACAAAAGAAACAGTGGATCAAATTGCTGTTGGCTTAGCGGCCATCATGTTTATAGCTAATGCATAATAAACATTATTTTCATCAATATGTACTCTAAGGCATCACAAAATTATTATATTCTTGAAGAAACAACGTTCTTAGTTATCTTAAATACTGACTGTATACAATACTGATATTTGCATGCCTAAATTTTGAAAAGACACATAAAGTTCTTTTGCACTATACTGAAATTCAATGGCTATCATATAAGCCATGTAGGCTACAGGCTATATTTTAAATTGCAATCTGAACCTATAATTTTACATGAAATACTATTTTTACTTCGAAGACAGATTGATCATAAAACTTATTATTTAGACTTGGGAATCTGGCAGGTATATTACAGAAAATACAGCAAGACTATAGCTAAAGGAAAACAACTGACTATTTTTTAATCACTGATAAAATTTAGACTTTCAAGGTAAATTAGAATATTTGAAATCTTGTATAATGATGTATAATTATGGGCCTTACAGCTTTCCATTCTGAAAGATTTTAATGAAATAACACAGAAGGTTCACTTGTTTGATATCAGAATCTGATTTAAAATTGATCTTTAAGAAAAATTAACATTTATCAAATTTGTATGTGGAATAAAAAAATATCCAGACTTAACTGGGATTTTTTTTTTTTTTGGTTCCCTCTTCCACCTTCTAATATATATTTGTGTGAGTTTGACTTCAATTAAAACCATGTCATTACAGCCTTGACTGAGAAACAATTTGAGAATATAGCTTCTTATATTAGGGCAGGCACAAATAATATATGCTACTTTTTGTACTGTATACATTTATTTTGGAGAAAATATAGCTGTTACTCACTAAATGTATTTGTTGTTATATTAAATAAATCAATATAAGAATATTTAAAATTTGTTCATTGTAAATCAGAGTATAAAATACCATAGGGACAAAAAAAGCATTATGATGTCTTAAAAATGCATGGTCAAGGGGCTGGGGATTTAGCTCAGTGGCATTAGCGCCTGCCTTGCAAGCAGGCAGTCGTGAGTTTGATTCCTGATACCGATAAAAAAAAAAAAATGCATGGTCTATCGAGGGTCTTAAAACAAAAATGGATGAAAACAGATGACTTAAATATTTTTCACCTAGTCATATTTAATTAGAGCTTTTAAAGAAGAAATAAAAATGTCAGAATTAGAGATGAAAGACGACAGAATTGGAGAGATTTGCTGGCAATAACTGCTTGGAATCATAAATAAATTACTGTATGAAATGAAAAATGTACAAATGGACATTACTTTCCCAATTTGGATTTCTACTGGAAAGAAAATATGTGAACACTTGAAGAAAAATCAGAATACCTTAAGTAGTAAATAACTGTAGATATTATTTAAAGAATATAAAACAATAAAAAAATTGTAAAGTACAGAAGCTTTCTTCACCAAATGTATTTCATATAATATATTTAAATATATTATTTGCACAATATTTAAAACCAGAAAGAGTGAAAGAAAAACTGTTAGAGACAACAGTAAATACACTATTTGAGTGAGAAGCAAGATATTTTGATAGATTCATAATTTTTTGTCCAACATAAGTACCATACATGAGAAAAGATTAAATCTGAGAATGTAGCACTTGTATGAATTCTGATATACATATGCATACTTTATAATCATATGGAAAAAGAGGCTATTTCTTTATATTACTCTTATAAATATCAGACTTTAACCACATAAATTTAAAAACTCAGAGAATTATACATTGTTCAGAATTGTACAATCACAAAAGATAATAAAATAGTAACATTCTGACATTTGGCTTGTTAACCAACTAGTATTATGGGAATTATTCATAGAAAACAGTAAACTGTGTTAAATAAATAAATGAAGCCTTACTAAATAGTAATCAACTCACATTTTCTCCTTTGTCACCCTTGCTGCCTTTCTGTCCTGGTTCACCAATTTCACCCTGCATTTGAAAGATTTAAATTAATCGTTCATATATTATATAAGCCTTTGCACCACTGTCCTTATCATTTACTGTAATCACACCTTACTGCTTGATAACACAGTTTAAAGTGTAAAATGCTGGTCGCTTTCTGCTCCTGATGTTCTGGTGTTGCTTTATATACAGACAAACCAACTCAGTTTAATTTACTGTATTAATTGTGTGGAATACTGAAATTTAAATAATTCATTTTGTCTAGAATACCATTATTATAAACTGATAATACAAGTACACTGATTTACAGGCAAATAATTACATGTAACACAAAAAGTACTTTTCACTTCTCCTAATTCTCCAAATATTAACATGATACATACTAGACTGCGGATTCACAAAGTTCTCTAGCATTTCATAATATTAAAAATATATATAATTCAAATATTTGGCAAAACTACATACTGAATAAAAAGCTTTGTTTCTATAATTTGACAAAAGGGAGTTTGTAGCTTATCTGTATGGCTTAACGTGCAATATCCAAGACACGAGGGTTGAATATGTACATTATTTTTATGCTATACATATTTCAGGAAAAATGATCTGGTTACCATTGTTTTCTTATTCCATTTTTTCTTTTTTAATCTACATTCTATTTAATATATGGCAAACTATAATCTTCTACTTATAAAACAAAATTTCTGAGTACAGGGAAGGTAACAAAATTTGAAAAGAAAATTACACTGGAAATTAAATCGTAGAGATGCTAATTATAAAATTCTTAGGAAGGAAATGCAGCTTTCTCACAAACTGTACAGACATGAATAGTGAGCACAAACCTTGTCTCCATCCTCTCCAGGAGAGCCCGCAGGACCAGCGGGCCCGGGGAGACCCACAGGACCTTGAACTCCATCTCTCCCTGCAGGGCCTTGGGGTCCTTTCTCTCCCTGCATTGAAAATCCAACAGGTCAATAATTGACTATAAGAAACCAAAAAACTAACTGTTTGATGCAATTTCTAAGTAAAAATACCACTATATATATAGCAACATAAGCCTCTACTGACAGAAAAAAAATATTTATTAATTCTAAGGCATAAAAAAATTCCACTAGTAAATGATAACAGAACAGATCTCCACTCTTTCATGTTTTACAGCCCTGTCTTTTTAATCATTTATGATTCTATACTATGGCCCACAAAATTTATTAGGAGTTAGTCGTGAATTTTCCTTTCAATATATGCTTTCAAAGCAAAACTTGGCACAGTGGCTGCCTGCTCTTTGTGAATCTTGCTGAGTCTCTCCACTTTCTCCTCCTCAGTAGCACTTGAATCACACTGCAGTGGACACAATCTCAGAAAACCATAAAATGCACATGATCATATGTCCAACTTTATAATATGCCCTACATATAACACTTCCCCTATTTTTAACAAAGGCTTTATGGATTATTTTGGATTTTGATATTTTAATTCGCTGTTGCTTTTCCTGATTTAAAACAAGAAGGTTACCTTTCCTGCATTCTTTTGTTTTTTATTTTCCCAAACCCATTATTTTTGTGTTAATAAATTTACCTGTATTATGCAATTTTTAGTAATACAGACTTGATAGTGAAGATGACTTCTATATCTTTTAAAGCAAGGTCCCCAATAAGGGGATCTGTCTATGGCCTGTTAGAAACCAAGCTGCAGAGCAGATTAGAAGCAGCAGGCAAGCAAAACTCCGTTTGTATTTACAGCTGCTCTCATCCCAGGCTTTACCACCTGATTGCCTCCACCTGTCAGATGAGTGGCATTAGACCCTTGTCGGAATGCCACTGTAAACTGCACATGGGAGGGATCTAGGTTGCATGCTCTACACCACTCCTGGGCTCTGGAAAAATTACTTTTCACAGAACCAATCTCTGGTGCCAAACAGGTTGTGGGATGCTGGTATAAAACATCTGTTCAGAGTTTAAAATGATTTATTTCTTCAGTCAAATTTTATTAATTTTGAATAAGACATCATTTCTGAGTCCATTCAGTGATTTTATTTTCTATTGTTAAACCAGTTGGAAATCTACACATATTTAGGTCCTGCCTTTGCATTATCTATTTCCTTACAGAATCCTCACCATCTCCTCCTTTATGCTGATCACCTTTCATCTGCTGGAACTTTCAGTACCTCTTGATTTGTTTGGTTATTTTTGCACAAAAGGGACTCCACTCACCGGTAGTACATGCCAGTCAGGGGCTCTAAAATTCAAGTACTCCTTATCCCTCTGGTTAACTCTTGAATGTAGTCTCTCTCACTGGCGCTTTATTCTAAAATAGCGTTCCTGGTATGAATTATTACAATCATTTGCTATCTTTCTCCACATCGATTCAGCTTAGTTTGAGCTACCATTATTTGGCTACTACCTGAACAACATTTAGTTTATTAATTAATTAATGACAATAAAATAAAGTATCAATAAAATAAAGTTAACTTATCCTCCTGGAGCCCTAAAATCATACCACTTGTCTAATTTAAGCTTTCACCCTAAACTCATTTGGAAGATTGGGGATCTTGGCCAGGTTCCTGATAAACTGGTTGTCTGCTTAACTGCTTACAGTCCATATTTTTTTCATTTTTAAAAATACAACACAGTCATCAGATAGAACATACCTTTGATATCTTTTCAATGTTGTACAGTGTTCTAAATTTAGTTTTACTATCTATAACTTTAGTTTTACTATGCATAACTCTTTCTCTCTTATGCATCTCTTGGATCACAACCTATATGATGACGGGAAATATCCATATTTCTTTAGACAGTCATCTTAATTTTACCCTTTGACCTCTCCATTTACATTAAACACAAAATATTCCCATAGAAAACTGATAGCTAATTTCACATCCTCATGTCCTGTCTTTTATTTGGCCTGGTCTCATACTTAACCCATCTTCATACCTTCAAATATTATCATAAATGCACGGCTCTAAAGTTCATTCACATCTTTATTTTCAGGTTATTGTTTCACTCTTTCTGACACCTCTGGTTCACACATTGATGATAAAGATAATAAAGACTGTTTACTTAAAAACTGCAAAGTGCCTTAGAACTATAATTCCATCTAATTTTCACAAAGCACAAGTATGATCTACTTTGAGGAAATGAAGAAACAGAGCTTTGATGTTTAGAAATTTAATTTCATAAATTAAAATAATAAATTAAATAAAAAGAAAGCTGAGTTCAAGGCCAATTTTAATTGTCTTTAAGTTAATAATCATAATCTTTAACTTTCTCACTTTTCACTGATTCCTTTAATACTTCCGGTACAGTACATAAATATATGCATAGTATATTAATAATGAAACGGCAACACCTTGAGGGCTTCCATCTACTGTCCATTTTTCTTTAGCTTCCTGGTTTATCTCAGGAGATCCACATGAAGCAACTCTATGCTTTAGTCTACTATTGTATTTGAACCCAGGTATAATTATTCTACAGTTATAAATGTCCAGTAGTTCAAATCAGCCTCTCTCTCTCTCTCTTTTTCACCTTTCAATATTTTTTTGTGTTTTATACTCAAAACAAAGATTTTCTTTCTTGGTCTATTTAATGACATGCCTCTGGTCATACATAGATACATACATATATGATATATACCTATTTCCTTTTCTCTTATAATGTCTTTTATTTTAATTATGGAATCTTTTCACAAAGCACAAACATTATGGTTTTCCAGAGTGGATCCAAAGCTCTGTTCTTCCTCAACACCGCCTAATGTAGTAATCTAAAAAACTGGTTCTTAACTTTACTCTTAAGTATATGGAGCATACTTTTCCTGAAATCCCTAACTCCTAGGGCCTACTTTGTTTATAGTCAATTATTTGAGTCTAGCTTTTACCTCTTTTCCTACAAGCAAACCCCTAAAAGACACATAATTAATACAGCTTCCTACCTGTAACCTCTCTGTGGAGTACCTTCCCACTGCAGTTTTTCTTAAAAATCATACTATCAAAAGATGTTTTTCCATACAGACTGATGGAAGAAGTTTTAGCTCCCTCTCTGGTCTTAATTCCAAAAGTTTCTAATTTGGTTGATAATTTGGGAGTGTTGTTTAAGCCATAAATAGATATATTATTGATTCTTGTTTTCCAGTTTCACCCTTCCAAGAAATGAGTGAGTAGGTAAGTAGACCAAGGGCTTGACTTCTATATGACTCTCAACACTTTTAGAATTAGTTTTTATCATTATCCTTAAAAATACAATATAATGCTATGGCTAGTGGTTAGTTTTATGAAGTAACAATATATTAAATGAAAGAATAATAGAATGCACATTCTGGAGCTGTATTTGGTGAACCTGAGAGAGGACAGGTGAGCAGCACATTTTCTTTCAACTTCCCAAATGATAATTTCATCAGTTATCAACAAGTTCCAGGTTCAAATTCTACTTCTACAAATTTCATTTGTCAATAATTTTTCCTCTGTCTCATCAAATGAATTTCTTATAATTTATTCCTACTGCATTTCCATTCTGTTCTTTCTTTTAACATTTTACATCTTCATAAAGCATTTATCTGCTTTAAAACTCCATGTTAAACAAATTATCTTCACAGAACTCTAGACTTCTCTAGGATAGTCACAATATGCATAAAACATAACAAGCATTATAAATTCCTTTTCTCTGGATGCATTCTTTACAGTATGGTAACAAGACACAAGATATGTGCCCAAGATTTTTGAGTACACTTCTACCGAAGAGACTGAATCTATATCCTTTCCCTCTACTCCCAGTATACAGTACCTTCTAACATACGGGTCTTTAAGAAAAACTTTAAAAGTGCTTTGTCTGTCAGTTATATAAAAAGGTGTCATGGCTTGACCCTAAAATTTCAACTGTTTTAGAAAGATGATAAATTACAAGAATTTTTTTGTTACTAATAAGGAGGTGTGCTTTGGATGTGCTCCCTGAAAAGCATGTTTGGGAACATTAATCCTCAAACAGAGTTAGAATGTGGAGACTAATGCTGGTGATCAGAACATGTAGGCAAAATAAATGAATGAATGAACTAATTAAGAAATGAAAGAATGAGTGAATGAATGACGTTGTCATAGGAAGATTCACTTTCATAGGAGCAGATTTGTTATAAAAAGGAGCCGAGCCCTTTTCATTCTCTATCAAATTCTCTTTGACATGGACAACACCCCTCCTAACATGAGAATGAAGCCCCTCCTGAAAATGCCCTCTGGATCTTGGACTTCCTGTATCGAGGACCATGAGTCAATACATTTCTGTTCATCAGTAATTATCCAGCCTGTGAGTTTCTGGGATAGCAGTAGAAAGCTAGAAACACCTTAATACTGTCATGAATTAATAAGAGAAACATATATGGACAATAAATGCAAGGCACTTGCTACAGCTCATAAAATAGTATTCTGAATTATCAAATTCAACTTCACTGTGTAAGTATACAAAAAGATTAAACACATTTTGTTTACATCATGCCTGGTACCTTTTGTTTACATTTATTGAATTAGTTTGTAATTTTTAACTAAGAGTAGGAAAGATTATTTTTATTTAGAAAATGATTAAATCAAAGACAGAAACACAAATGGGAAAATCCTGACACAGAAATATAAATCTAGTAGGCAGGATAAAGTCCATAATAGTTAAAATGTAAATATTTTAAAACCAAATAAATATGAAATAATTGGTCAGATGTTTCTCTTATCTCACGTGAACCAAAACCAAATGACAGAAAAGGAGCAGCCATTTTCCCTGGCATTCAGTCACAGACTATGGAAATGACTGATGCAGAAGTAGTAACACAAGAAGTGTGAAAACTCCACACTTTTCTAATATAAGGCAGCAAGGTGTAGTTTTAATCAAAAATTCCAATTTTATTTTTTTAAAACGAGCAAAATGAGATATTATTACCACAATAATATCTAATTCCTTCACTGATATTAGGCTTTATAATGTGTGCAAAATGTTATCTCATTTAATTTAATTTGAAATTTTCTCTATTATAAATATGAAAGGTGTCTTCATATGCAGAGAGAATGCAGTGAGCTATGAGGAGCTAATATTCCAGAATAAAAAGTGAAAACTTGTGGAGGTCAGCAATTTAATATATCCTCTCCTGAGATTACTTACAGGGGCACCTTTTTCTCCAGCTGGACCAGGAGGTCCCTGGGGTCCTGGACGCCCTGGCAAACCAATGGGACCAGCTGTACCTGCGGATCCACGTTCTCCTGGTGAACCCTGGTACAAAAGAAAAGAAAGATTTTAATAATGGGAAAAAAAGATGCTGATGAAAGAGTCACTAAATGAATAATAGAATCTTACAGAGTGGTAGAAATTATCAAAGTAACTTTTTATGATCTCAAAAAGGAATTGATGTAACCACTATCTGATAAGATAATTTCTAGTTCCAATGTGAAGTACAAATGTTGAGATTAGGAAAGATTGATGACATGAAAAAGTACTTTAAATATTATATATTTAATATTTTATATGTCTTATTAAAAATTTTTATTACAATTGTGTGCAACATAAAACATACATTCAATATATCTAATGTATCATAGTTTTGATTTTATATTTTAATAGATTGGCAGAATATACTCCCTGCATTGGTATTTCTTTAAATGATTGCTGAGTTTCAATTTAAAGCTGCTAAATCAAATGACTTCAGAAATTCTCAAATATAATTGTTCACATAGTCAAGTTAGATAACCAGGAACCCAGAATCTGGATTTTTTTTCCCCAGAGAATAAGTACTTAACTTTATTTAAAACACTCCAAAAATCATTGAGTCCTATTATGAAGACTGAGTAGATAAATTTTATCTGATTGGGTTTATCCAAGTAAGTTTAAAAAATATGTCATATATATTGTAATTAATTTGCTTTACAAAATCTCATGTAAAGTTTTTTAAAAATAAGCTCGTGAATATTGCCTTCACATTAATTTTATGTAGCAATAATTTCAAAACAATATTTAGTGAAAGAATAAAAGAAATATAAACATATATTTACTAAGTTAAGAAAGCTCAAATATAATTTTTCTAATTGTATTTAATAAAGTACAACTTCATGATGTGTTTGGATTTGTTTACAAAATGAATGGTTTAGTTTTTTTTACATTATTTCATGAATGAATAAAATGTAAAAATAGTTTTACCTCATTTTACTAGGAAAATTATTATTAGTAGCTTTCTTTAATACTTAACATCCTTATGTAATTATATGATTTCAAAATTCACAGAGGAAATGATTTATGAAATATGGAAAATTTAATTCTTTAACCGTTAATGTGCTTGCTAATCTATTTTCCCCATACTGAGAATCATTTTATTGCACAAATATGAAGTACTGAACCTACCTCAATTTATATTTTAATTAGCTTAGAAGCTAATAACTCAGGACTATGAGAACAAAGGTAATAATATCCATGATTTGTATTTATGCAGTGTTTTAAAGTTTACAAATCAGTTCTTTTTTTTCCTACTCTTTGAAAAATTTCAATAAATCCACAGTGTAGCAGAACTTGTGGTTCAAGTCTTACCTAGGTGTACAAGTTAACTGTCCTAGGGGCCAGGGATATAGCTTAATGTTGTGAGATCGATCCCGGGTAATTAAAAAAAAAAAAAAAGCTAACTGTCCCCAGAATCATGTAACTGGCTAAAGAAAACCTGATGTACGAATGTAGTCAGTGCTTTCTCACAGAGACACCCTCTGTTTCCTTCTGAGGAGTACATCAGCAATCCCCAACAGCTATATACTTGGAATTTCTTTCAAATCAACTTGCATTCATTTTAACCCAAATTCAACTTCACAGAAATACACAGAGATTATGAAAAATTGATGAAAACTTCACTTTTAATTTTTGATGCTTTTTTCTTTATATTTACCAGCTATATAAAATAATTTTTAGCTAGTTACTTGAATGATAAAAAAAATAAAGTAAATGGAAGGGATGCAGGTTTGACAATATAAGAGATTAGAATGACAAGAAAATGTGATTTTCATCTCCTTTTTGTTATTATTGCTCTTCGAGTAATTGAATACTGTTGTAATTTTTGTAACTGCAGGGTATAAGAAACTACAATAATATGGAAATACTATGCCAAAAATATGATTAAAGAAACTGTGAAATTTGAACTTCATTTAAATAAAGGCTGGAATTTTTGAGTTGTATATGTAAACATATAAAGACAAATCTAAAATTATTCTTCACATGTACAATGTTTAATGAGGCATCATGTGAAAATTACATATTTATCCATCAAGTATTTCACATGCTGAAAGATAGTTGTACAAGAAATTCAATTAGTATCTTCCAGATAAAATGCATCTACACTTCCATCAATATGTATTTTTAATCTAATAATAAAATGTTTTTTAATGGAGAAAAGTTAGTTGCAAGTGGTATAACTGTGAACAAAGTGGAAAATTTGAAGAAAATAAATTCCAGAGACCAGTGCGAAAGTAAAATAGTAGTAACAGTCTTCTAAATGTTCTACATTCAAAAAGTGCAGACCTATAGGTGAAAATGACTCAAATGTTTGTCTGAAATTATTCATTAGAAAGGAGAAGAAAAATAAAGGATGAAAATGGAAATGGGGAAAAGAGCAACAGCACAAAGAATAAGTTTCTTGAAATGAGAGAAATGCAAAGATATTCCTAGAATCAATAAAATGAGAAGAAAGTCAAGCAGTAAAATCATATATCTTAGCAATAAAAAAAATCAGCAAAAGAAAACATATAATGCAAGAAGAATTATTCAATTTCATTCAGATGAACTCAATATGCCAAAAGACAAACTATCACTACCAGGAAAGCTGATCAATGTACATAAAAGATAACTATTTCATTTTTTATTTTAATATTTCACGTCTAAGCCACAGAAAATTATCACCGCCACTTGTCTCATCAAAAGCAAAATAAACATTATATATAAACTGTAAGAGTTTTAATACGTAACTCACTATACAAAAGGATGTATAATTTTAATCATTTAAGCTCTGAAATTACTTTGTAATCCTATTTAAATCCTTAACTGTCAAAAACTACCTGAGGAAGACATCATGGCAGATCATAGAGACAAACATGAGGCTAACATGATACAAGAGGAGGTGACTAGAGTGTGGAAGCTAATAAAAGGAAAATACTACTTTCCAATCACTGTGCAAAGTACTTTGGATGTACGATGTTTTTTAATACCTACATAATTTCATATATTTCATGTAAATGCTGTGAGGCTCAAGGTTTATGTGGCCTGATTTACTACAAATTTTTTGGCAACTGTGTACTTTATAATTCAGCAAGCTTTTTTCCATGACATTTATACTCACATAATTTGAACATATTGTGTTATTTTCGATATAGCACAATGTAGCCATTTACTGGGAAAAATCATATTGGTTTGAAAACTCCAAATTGATGAAAGCATTCTCCTTTATTCAAATAGTCACTCCATTTTCAGCTCCACCAAAGAAGTGTTTTCAGTTTGGCTTACTATTCAGTGCATGCATGACCCGGGATGCTATGAGGCTTTTTTATCATGCTGCATTTGTGATTTTAAAATTTAAATATTTCTTTCCTATTGATGCTGAACTCTGAAATATTTTGTTGATGCATCTTCCTGAAAATGTATCCATTATTTTCAAGAAAAATATTCATGAACACTTAGAAGTTTTTAACTTTAAATTTTAGCATTCTAATCTGAAAAAAATATTTCCTACATATTACTGTCTTACTGATTTTCTGACAGTTATCTCAGGTTTTACGTTTGGTCACATTTATACTTGGTCTAGGTCTCTTCTTATACTCTAAAGAATGTAGAAATTCTTTTGGACCAAGTCAACAATACTCTTACTAAAAATTTTGTATCTATTTGAAAAATAGATGATAGAGACATATTTCTAAGTATTCTGTACATAGTCTGTCATAGTAGTGCATGTTCACTGTAATTATTTTTTAATTGATCTAATATGGTATAGCATTTAGCACTGAGTTTTCCCATAAATATCTCTGTTCTGTCTTTAACTGTCTCAAAGAATAAAACATTCTGTGTGCATCAAGAACAGTAAATATAGAACATAATTGAATTAGTGATATGTACTTGTGTTTTTACTAAATATGTAAACATGTTTGATATATTAAAACATTCAGGCTACTTCTTACATGTAGTTTTCAAAATTTGCAAAGTATCAATTGAATGCATAGTTCCTGTAGGTGATACAGTTTCCAAATAAAAAGAAATATGTATTATGCCTTAACGGATGCATTATGGAAGATGTGTTACATTAAATAAACCATAACATTTATGGAAAAAAGGAATGTTAAATTGATAGATTTACTTTAACATTTCAAGTTAATCAAGATACTTCAAATAATTATTTTAGTATATCTCAAATAGAGTCAGAATGCTAACTTGAATGCATCAGTGTGCATAGTTTATAGATATCATACACTATATTTTCATTACAAAGCATAACTATTTTAATTTCTTCCTTGGAGCATTCATAAGATTAAATTATAGATTACCATCTTTCTTGTGGAACCTATATTAAAATTAATAACAAAAATATATTACTTTTCTGTACTTAAAATTTGTTCATGATCCTTGTCACAGCTCATAAACTGTGAAACAAATGATGGAAACAAGAAGAGACTTTTTCAATGTATATTTGTGCCCTAAGGTACAATTGCAATTTCCTTTCATACTAGTTACTCCAAACTTTTGATAAGCCTGGATATTTTTAATAACAGCATGCTCTGCAGTGATTTTATTTTATGTATAAATAATGAACAGTGAAAATCTCTGATGATACCAATGATTAAGCAATGATATATAACAAAATGTAAATCTTAAACATTCCCAGGCCAATTTTTAAAGAATAAACTTTATGAATCCTTTAATTTTAGCTGAACCACTGAGAAGACCTATCTCTGTTTTTAAATTAAACTTTAAACTAATATTAAAGGAAGTTCTCATTTACACATTCAACAAAAATATGAGAACCTAATTTCTTATGACTCTGACTGTGGATAAAAATGTAGGACAGCAGGTACCAGCCCTTGAGACATTCATACTGCATATGATTTTTTCTATAAAATGTAGGCATCCGTAATGATAAAAATGCTTGCACTGCTGTATAGCTACCAATAGTAAGTAAAGCAACTTTTATAATTATCAGATAATTGAACGAGTATATATAAAATGTGTACAGTTAAACAGTGGTTTAAATGGATGAT